TGTTCGGAGTACGGAATTAAACGTTTTTTACAAACCAAAGCACACATATGAAGCTGTCATACTTTGGATTTTAGTAAAAGGCCCTTGTGTGAAGTAAATGCAGTGGAGACCATTCTTCCTGCATTTTCTTTGCTGACGATTAAGGTAGAAAAAACACCTATTTCAAAAATGTATAAAGAATCTCTTAGTTCGAAATATCTATGATATGTTCATTGTCAATTTCCTTGTAGGTATTTATTGAAACGACTTTTTGTAATGGCTGAAGGCCAATATCTTGTCGAAGGAGGTGCGGTAATGATAGTTCCTCCTGTCTTTTTAAAATGCAGAAAGCACAATAACAAGATTGCAATAAACATCACATTAAACTAAAGATTACAAAATAAAATGTGTGTCAATAGTGTCCTTTCCTGTGTGTTAAAATCGTGTAATTAATTCCTCATTGCAATTCAGCAAATGTCTTGCAAAAGGAATACCAACGCTTTAAGAAATGGGATTGACTCTGTAATAATTGTCTGAACACTGTATAAAACTCTTCATAACTGATCTAGCTAATCTTTTAAAATGACTTTACAGCTTCCGACATTAAACAAAAATGATGATGTATAGACGTTTTACTTAATATCAAATTGATTTAGATTGCCAAACGGCTGATTATGCTGACTGTCAATGAAATTGTTCAATATTGCTTTAAAAAAGATTTGTGTTGCTATAAGCGATGTCATCGTTGTTCATTGAATGTTTCGTACACGCCAAATGATTGAAAAGTATCCATTGAATTCCATCAATCTGTGATATAGATCTTGGCCGGAAGTTAACAATCAAAAAATAAAAAAGTCAGATATTGATAATGAGATTTTACAAATGTGTTTTAAATGATTTTGTCTTCACGCAAATGCAAATAAAAACATGATAGTATCTACGAGCTCTACATGGATATTTGTTAGCAACTGTTGTCTCGTATGCAGTCCATTAAAACACACACAAACACAAAGTTGCATGTTTATCTAATTCTACCGATTTTATTTTCAATTTGATTTATTGATCTTATTTGAGAAATTTTGACTTAAAAATCCCCTCGTCCAAGATTTTTTTCCTGGTAGAAGTCAGGAAACCATGCCAGTACTTAACAGTATCTGTTGTCACGAGTCATGTATGAAGTGAATTTATATTAAACAGATAGTTTTCCATCATTGTTAACTAACGTAGATCTAAGATCCTTCTTAATTCTTTACGAGTTTTTATGATTAAAATATTTAAATTCTTGAAAAGGAGGGGAGCTGATGTACTTACCACTAAAATAAATCAAAATATTGGGGGGAAATCCTAATATATTGAAAACTTCAATGTGTGAAAATAATGATTTTGATGTATTTTCTTTTAGTTTGTGAAAAACATTTGTTACTTCCCTGTTATATTAGCCAAAGATAAAATATTCTTTACAATGTTACTTCGGACGCATGCAATTTATATAGTGGTGTTTTCATTTTTTACAGCACTGGTCTATACCGCTACTAGTAGACTATGAGTCCCCGAGGGTATCATCAGCTTAGTAGTCAGTACTTCGGTACAGACTTGATTTATAACAAACCTTTCTTCAATTGTCCGTTTATAATAAAAACTTATAAATTATTAAGGAAACTTAGATTACCTTAGATAGATTTGGCTATTACTTTTGTGTCCTTCTTAGTCATATAGCTCTTCGACTGTTTTGGTTCTTATACATCCTTGGCTTTCAAAAATTCGGCTTTTAGCGTCCCGGCTTAAGGTAAATCCAGTAAAGCGCTTCGGACGCATGAAATTTATAAAGTGTTGTTTACTATTTTTACATTTTGTTTTATATTGACTTATAATATTTGAACTGATTGTGTTATTCATTCTTCCAATCTTGACCAAAGGCGTTTACTTGGGTATCGAAATGTGGTCATCTTAAAAGAAATTGATATATTTTGTGAACCCCTCAGAGGAATTTGAATCATTTTGTAATTTATTTTTAGAAAAGAATAAGGTATCCCAAAGATGTTATTTTTCTGTCCGTACGCAAATTTAAAAATACAGTCTAAACTGTTTAATTGGTTAACGAACAACACGAGAGAAGTGCGATTATATCGTGCAATAGAATAGTTTGTTCGATTAACTATTGTTAAATAAAACTCATCAAAAATACTAGGCTTATAATTGTGCACGCCATACCGCGTTTCGTCTACAACAGACTCACCAGAAAAGCTCGAATCAAAAAAGTTAAAAGGCCAAATCAATTAACCGATTTCTTTTAGAGTAGAGAGTACCCAAGTACATTCACTAAAACAAAACAAATAACAATATATATTATATAAATCAGAATGTAAAGGGATATTAATACGTATACTTTTACATGAAGAAGATATCTAAGTCTCATAATTTCCGCTAATTCTATAAGTAGTTATTTATAACAAAGAGTTAGTCTTCTATTTTACACCTTTTTGAATGGGAAGCGAACGAGAGAAATCACAGATAATTCCCATCATCTTAGACATATACATCTTTGGATTTTGTCGCCTACTGCCGGCGTTAAATTGTGCATTTTGATGTTTTGCCTGTCAACAAATTTTCTAAAATAAGCAAAAACAAGTCTAGTGTTGTTTTTTTTTTAGTGTTGACGAAGAAAACAATTGTCAATACAGATATATGCACATGACAAGAGTTCACGTGACAACATGAGATTGGGCGGAAGATTAATTTTTTGTTTTTGTTTTTTGTGTCTTAACGTCCAGTTGCAAATGTCTCATGCATATTCAGAAGAAAATCAATTCAATAATAAATCCGTTTTAGTATTACTCCAGCGTGGGCCGGTAATTAAGTCTGCCACTTGAAAAAGAGATGGATAGGGACATTTTATCCCTTTCAAACGTTCACTCAGGGACCTTTCAAAGAGATGTTACAAGGGTTCATTTACGCAAGGAACAATTTCTACTGGATGTATCGAATTTAGCGTATTCATTCTGACCGACGTTAAAAACATTTAAACATCCGCACAGTCGAACGAACGCCCCTCTTTTGCATGGATTTTACTGCCGGAGGAGAGAACATAGTTACAAAGAAAAATTTACTTGCGGCTGCAAAGTGTATTATATGTCTCTTGTGTCTCTAATATTAAGCAATGTAAATGTGTCTGATCATAATGGGATAATTTTGGCTTTGGTCATTACGTTTGAACTAAGCTGTGCATTTACATTCGTAGTTATATTTATAAAAGTGCACATATATATGATACAAGTGAGGATTGAATGGTTTATTTCTATTGGCGAAGGACGTGAATGATATTTTGACATAGCAGGAATTTGCATTGCGGGAGAAGCATGCATAGCAGGAGACACTTACTTTGTCTACGCACCTGGTCTCTTTTTCTTTTAGAGTTCATGAGATTTGAACATCGGTGTAAACTACTGTTGCGTTTATGTTTTGCTATTGACGAAGGACGTGAGCTTGTTTTATCAAATTTTAGTGTTCAACAAATACATTGATGGTTCTAAACAAAGTCTTTTCTCTGCATGTTTAGGACAGAAATAAATAAATCGTTTGTTGATTACGAAAGTTTTAATCGAAAAATCTGTTTATGTGAATCGTCTTTTGCTACAAAGAAATAAAAGTGGCAATTTCTTATTTTTTTTACGATGACCACTTCTTTAAAATACCCGATTAGGAACACAATCCTTTTCCAAATCGTGAAGTATAGTCCATCACGTGAGGATATAAATGTGTTATACAGGAAACAGAAGGGAAACGAACCATATCCTTGCACATTAATAACCAAGAAAACTTGCGACCGCAAATGGATATTATCAGAAGTCTTAGAGATAAATAGGAACCATTGTAGTCGAAAGGATTTATTAATATCGCAGTTCATATTTAGAAATCCATTAGTTTACTTCGCATAAGCTTGACTTGGTTAATTTCTGTTACGAGCTTTTAACAATTTTTAATTTTGATGCGTTTTCGATGAGAATAATTATAGCTGAGAACTTGGGTATAAATTGATGAACTTTTAAATGTGAATTTTGAGTAAAAGAACGTAAAAAACAAAATAAACAATAACAGCTTTTAGTTATTGATTGGAGTGACAACACAACGGTTTCCCATTAATCAAACATCCTTGAGGATTAAGTCATTATTTAATTGGGTTACATTATTTATGATGTATACAATAGACTAATGTGGGAAACGCCAGTTAATGAAATATTGTGACAGGGGATAAAGGATACATTTAATGTCCGTCTTGTTTGATTACTTCATTTTTTAATCCAAGATCACGCGAGATTTCAGTTTTGATTTTATGCAACAGAGAAGAAAGTTCCAAGATAACAACCGATATCGAAATCAAACATGAAAAATATCTCGTACAATATAAATAGTTAATGTCTGATTGACGATAACACGGATAATAAAACTTGCATTGTAATGTTTGAGAAGAAAACTTTTGGTATCTAGCAATTTGTATAAACTTTTTATGAGACTCAAGTATAGTGTACACGCAAAACATACAAAACCTTTTTAATAATTAATATTAAAAGAAGGAGATATGTTATTATTTCCAATGAGACTACTTTCCACCAGAGTTTGAATAACGAAGATTAAAGCCATAATAGCGTCCTCCAACAAATGGAAAAAGCCCATACCGTATAGTCAGTTATAAAAGGCCTCGACATGAAAAATGTGAAACAATTTAAACGAGAAAACTAACGGCTTAATTTATACAATACAGTTAACGAAAAACAAATATGAAACAACCACACCTCCAAAAAATCACTTACCAAACATCTTCTTATATCTATTGAGGATTAAATCATTGTTTTATTGAGTTACATTATCTGTGATGTATACAAATATGGAAAACGCCAGTGAATAAAATATTGAAACAATGGATGAAGAGACATTTTATATGCTTAGGAATGACAAGCCCCCCTTTTTTTAATATAATTAAGGTTATTTTCCATGTGCTATTATGACAATTTCACATTTCTGGCATTTTAGGTCATTCCAGGAGTGTACAGATACCAGGTTGTGTGGAATTTAATGTGACTACCACTGCATGCCGCGGTTTTTGTCTTTCTTATGCCATACCATCACCATCTAGAACACTTTTAACAAATCCACTACATCAAGTAACTTCTAGGGCAGAATGTTGTAGTATAGAAGCAACACATGATGTAAGTATATCAAACATTCTGAAACTTTGACAATTAAGTATATATTGGAGCAGGTTATGATTACCCTTCCGAAACTTCTAATATCAACTCCAGATTTTGGTAGGGTGTTTTCGTCTTTTGGTTTTTCCCTTCGTCTTATGAGTTTTTAAATAATGTCCCCTTGACATATGCCGCCTCTTTTTACCCGAATAAAATGTGCAAACATCTTAACTTCTCTCTCTTTATTTAATTTTTTTAATAAAAATCTGAAAATTACAAAAGTGCTCAATTGTCAGAAACCCAACTGTACTCTAGGTTACGACACCGTTACCCTGAACAACACTATACATGAAGATATTAAAACAACTTTCTAATGCAAAACATTTAAGTAAACTAAAATATTTGATAAAATTCGAAAAAAAAAGTTAACGTCTTGAATGCATTTTTAGAAATTGGAAAAAAATTTGGTACTACAGTAACAAATAATAAAATTGTCCAACCGTATACTTGACTTTCTCAATAAAATTGATAGGAAATTATTTGCTGCAGTTGAAGGATTCTTTTTAAATGTCAGGAAGTCAAAAAACTTATATAAGTATTTTTAGGACTTCACTTAAGATCTGTAGACGTCTTATCGTTGAACACAGGAAACTATAATTAAGTAAAGAAATATGAAAGTGAAGCATACATTTATATATCAATATGAAACGCCTTGATTGTCCGAAAATATCTGATAATGTTCATTTTATTGATTTGCTTTCTTTGAATATTATTCTCCGAATATATTTTTCTTTGCATTATGAAATAACAAATTGCTGGTGCAAAGGAACTTAAATACAAAATCACATACGACATCCGTTCAAGATGAAAATGAATCGTTAACCACGTAAAATCCAAGATAAAATCAATTGTACTGACGAAATAATTGTATTTATGTTTTCAGGTAAATGTTGCCGTGCGATGCATAGACGGTGTCAGAGAAGTGACTTTTAAATCAGCGACGACGTGTGCCTGTAATCTATGTCGGCGTAACTGGTGACGTATTATACTCCATCCATTCTTGTGATATATGCTGAATCTCAACCTATACCAATGTCTTACTGATCAACTAATAGTGGAACACCGATAAGAATTTTTCGCGAGAAGACTGTCGTATTACAGCTTCCAAGCATGCTTATATGAGATATTTTGAATTGACCGAGTCATGTGTTCAATATATATTTACTGTTGTGAACAGAACCTTTGCGGTCCTATCTATCTATCTTTAATACTCACTCATAACCAACAGCTGTATGCTATTAAATTATTATGCTATGTAATTTGATTTGTTTGTTAGGGTGCTTGGTTGTGATAAATTTTTTGTCTTTAAATGTTGAAAAAATATTTTTACATGTTTTTGAAATGTTGTAATCAAAATAAAAATAAGATGTGGTATGAAAGAAGATTTCAAAATCTGTTTAATTGTTTGAACTTGTTATTGTACATAATGATCAGGATATTCTTATCTGGTTTTAAGCCTTTAATAAAGTAAACCGTTACCAGGGGGCAATGCAAACCATAAATAACAGAAAGACGACAGCACTATAAAAACAAAAACAAAACACAACGAACACACAAACACTAGTTCACAATATCCACAATTTTTTGGTAAGAATTTTAACAAATCTAATTTATAAAAAAGGTATCGTTAATAATTTTATAAAAAAAAGGCTTCACTTCCACAAAACCCGTCCTTTATTAAATTAATACAAATCGACTATAATAGAAATATATCATAAATCTGTAAATAACTATAAGGAGTAGATTTTAACAGGGTTCTAATTTAAAAATACTCCTTTTCATTTCACCAGAGTAATATTTCTAACATAAAGTTGAAAAAAAAAAAACACTCTGAATTCAGGCGCATTTGGTGTGTACAGAATGTAATATTTTGATCAATTCAAAGACTGATTGCGGTTTGCAGACAAGCTGTTTGGAAAGCACCTGGGAGCATTTTGGACTTTATTAATTATTTTATTATTTGAACATTGGAAAGAGTTCAAAATATCACATGAATGAAGAAAAGAAATTTTTACTACTATGCTCTGAATATTTTTCTGGTACATATGTGTAATTAGTGATTTTTTTTAGTGCAAATTCAATAAAAAAAAATGAACAATTTCTACAACCCCGCCCCCAATAAAATAAAGACATGTTACACATGAAATATAAATTATTTTTTTTATGTACAAATAAGTTTTGAAAATAAACGTACATGTAACTGAAATTTGAAACACAAAAATGAATTGTAGTATAAGATGTCCCCATTTAAAAATAATTGAATTTGTGACTGCTTGTCAAAATGGTATGGAAACATGTGTATCCGCAATAATTTATGAATGTAATTTATTTCTTGCGTTTTCTTTCGACGAAAGATATCGGGGAACACATGTATACTGTGTATACCCTGTGTTTGCACTTTCTTTATTAGCGGATCACAAGCCTCGCCTTTATTTTCTAAGCTCAACATTTCAACTGAGAATGAAGAACATGTGTGATATGTGTTTTGAATGGATTTACTATTTATTTTATGTACTATTGTACGATTGTAAAAACGGTTATATTTCATTTTTTTTTCGATTGTTAATTTAAATGCAGAAATAAATATTTTTTGAAAAAAACTTGCGTAATCAATTTACTTTTAGAGCGGGTAATGGTCGCACTAGCATGTGTCGTTATGTTTATGAGGGATTTTTCTGTAACTTATAAATTGCTAGCTCATGTGGCCATTAAGGGCTATATCAGCTTATGCAATCACTTGACGTCAGTTGTCTTTGTACCCAATTTAATACAAATCGACTACAATTGAAATGAATCTATAAATAACTTTAAAAGTCGAGTATATTTTAAGAGGGTTCAAATTTAAGAATACTCATCAAACAAATCTATCAAATAATAAAGTGCAACATTAGTCTATCAGATGTCAGCACTGTATATTGTCATTCAAACTTCTTGAATTACATGCATTTAATATTAAACTGCAAAAACCTTTTAATTGAACTTCAAAGAATGATTTTTGTTGGTCGTCCGTAAAACTTTTTATTTATAATCACTGAAACCACAAAACTTAATGCTTTGAAACTTGGCAGTTACTATAGTAATGTCTGGTATTTCCTCTTAGAACCTGCTTATTTTGTTCCGATCAGATGGAGAAAAAAATTTACCAAAAGGTATTATCAATCCTAGTGGCTTATATCTAAACAACAAACTAAAGCAGTTAGAGCAAAACTGATAGGTTGAGAATAATCAGTAGGTCTTCTAGTTTCTACCCTGAAGTTACTAGTAAAAGAAAAAACATAATAATCGACAAAACCTATTTTAAGTTATTACCGTAGTTATGTATTTTTTTACACATTTCACTGCCTTTGTCCAGAATATTGGGAACTATTTAATATGAATAGAGAACAAATTTAAATAGCAAAACTGCACAGAGAGACGAGATCTATCAATTTTTCAAATTGTTGAAATCGTCTTCGTATGAGACATTGACCTTAGATAACATTTTTATCAATTTCTTGCGTTCAATGTCTTGTTTTTTGGGGGTTTTTTTTGGGGGGAAGGGGGTCTGTTATGGTGAGAACTGTAATAGATATAGAGAAACTACGGGCAGCTTGAATGCTTTTAACGTTGCATATTTTACTACAGGAGCTTCATTATACAGGGAGACTCTTATTGAATAAAGCAAGTTTAGGATATTGTATGGTCCCTCTTTCAGAATTTCAGAATAGGAGTCAGTTCTTCACATCTTTACAATTCCATTGTAGCTGAGAGACAAAGGGTGTTTTCCACATAAAATGTGTATAAGCTTCAAAATTCAAGTAAAACATATCTTCGCTTTGATAATGGATTGAATGATTGTTTGTAGCATGATAAACGTCCTGTCGTCTTGATCAGGGAAAGAAAAGAGGGACGAAAGATACCAGAGAGACAGTCAAACTCATAGATCGAAAACAAACTGACAACGCTATGGCCAAAAATAAAAAGACAAACAGACAAATAATAGTACAGATGACACAAGACAGAAAACTAAAGAAAGAACCTGCGACTACGACAAAATGAAATAATCTGATCAATTTAACATTAATTTTAATATAAAGATATTCCAGAACTTGTGTTTTCTACCTTCTTTTCATATCCAGAAATCAACGCCACTTTGCTTATTTGAATATTATACTAAAGAAATCGGATACGGGTCACGGAAATTATATTGAAATGATAGGGAATTTTGAAAACAAATGTCTGTTTTAACTTTAATTTAAGTGATAGACAGGTTGCCGGGACAGAAAATAAATATACACAACAATATACACCATTTGAACGAAACATAATGACTGTCGTTGCAAAAGTCAAGGTTCCTGAGCAATTTTAAAAATCGAAGCGAGAGGCTTTTAACATTGCAGTATAAAATACAGGTTAAAATGGCTGAAACGTCAAATTTGCAAACTTCGTGTTGAAAATTTGCTAACAAGGTCATTACAAAAACAGGTTGCCGGGATGAAACTTGAAACTTGAATGTCCAAAGAATAAGCAAGTCCAAACCTTGTATGTGTATTCGTTGAACTCTAGGTTCCCACGTAAAGTTAAAATGCCCCTATTTCAAGAAAAATAAACTCACGAAAACACGAAAAATTCATTAAATTCGCGTTCATTGTTTTGATTTTGACCGCCTGACAACTTTACGGAAATATCAGAGTGATTATAAACAAGGACTCTGTGACGGGCAACTTATAATATCCGTGTTTTAAAGATTTTAATGATATCAAGCCAGTCCAGTTCAAACTATTATCACGTGGTACAATTCTCATTTACATATTATGAATATTAATTAGCAAAAGTACTACTAATTTCTGGCTGTGTCCTTCATAGAGTGTTGCTGATAACAAGGATTCTATTGAATCAAGGGTTTCCAGTTGTAATTTCGTCATCCTTTCGAAAGTTTTACGCCATCATTATTGGGTTGACCGTTATGGAATATCTTTGCCACAGATGACAAAGAATATGTTCCAGTTGTAAACATGAACCCGTCCTCTTTTCCTTGATTATGACATTACCTATTTTAGTTTTATCACGAGGAAACACAAACGGGTGCCACATATGGAGAATCTTCGTACCTTTCCAGAGAACCTGATATCAACCACGGATTTGTTGGTGGGGTTCTTGTTTCTCAGTTTTTAGTTTTCCTACGTTGTGTTTTGTTTTTTCGTCGTTTTTTTTTTGTTAGTTTCTCTTCGACTTATGTTTGTCTCTTTGGTATTCCTCTCCTTTTGAGATATGTATTACTTTTTAAAGAAGTGTCCTAACAAATATATTCGACAGCAATTTATTATGCAAAAGAGAAGATACAAGGTCTTTAATTATTATTTATATGCTAAAACATTAACTATCGACATGATATTCATATTTTTTAGTTATATATTAACTATCAACGTGATATTTGCAAACTGGAGGAAAACGGGGAACAAAGCTATCATTTTTATTGATATGATGCGTCTTATTCTACAACAAATATTGAATTTTCATAATTATTCAATATCTGCAGGGACTTGTTTGTACCATCATAAGCAGCTAGTCCTCAGAAGGTAAACAAAATCGATTGATATGCCGCAAAGATAAAAAAAAATTTTGAATATGAGTCAAAAGATAAAATCAAACGAACCTTATTGCAATACAAATATTTTATTAAAATACATCGGGAAGACTGCACATTTATGTACAAAACTGTAAACGGCATGCATATTCTAAAATTGTAAAAAAAAATAGCAATTAGCGTTTCTTTCCATGCATGCATCACCGGTCATGAGTAGAAATACTCATTCAAATGTCACAATCGGAAATTCGACACAAGCCGAAAAAAAACTAGATCAGCCGACTATTCTGGTACATTAAGATATAAGACCATCAAAACATGTTGCTAGTGGGTTATGACAGAAACATTGTATCAGCCAACCAATTCGTAATGGTGACCGTAAAACCTAAGTTGTTATTCTCTTAACTCTGTATGGGACAACGAGCGTAAAGTACTTATCGAAATATGTGAACGCCATACACTAGGACAGGGGCAGAGTTCTATTATTTTTTAATATATAATAATACATTAACTATCGATATGATGTTTATATTTTATAATTATATATTAACTATCAACATAATATTTGCCAAATGAATAAAACCGGACACAAAGCTATCATTACTATTATTGATATTTTGCTTCTTATTCTACATTACATATTGTGTTCTATCA